ATCTGCCATCAAACAAGAAGACAGACGCATGTAGCTATGATGAGGTTTGTTAGTTCACTTTACATGCATGCATACAACAAGTGCACTCATGGGTCAAAATGTTCACCAGTACTGAATATCCAGTGACATGGGAACAGTAAAATAATTCTATTTAACCTCAGACACACACAGCTAGATGCTCTTCGGGGTCAGTCGGCTCACTGAAATGATTTATCTGCCACCTCGGTTGTGGTCCCAACTCGAGAACAAGAGCTCAAACTGCCCGACTGACATCCTGAAATATGACCGAAAACTCCTGGATCAATCCAGGACATTCTGTTGCCTATTCCGAGGAATCGGATGACCCAGATTCTCTGTTTCTTCCTTTTGTTTCTTAGCAACATCAGGATCATCATCACTTCACGTGTACTCTGTGTTTGTCAGTGCATTTTTGAGGACAAATTTTCCATAAAAGCACTTTCGATGTGCATCTATTTACACAACAGGTTTGCATTCAAAATATTTGAAAATTTATTCAATTTTTTTTGTAATCCACTCAATGTGTTACAACTAATCAAAATCAATTTTATGTTTTATTTTCATAAATATGAAAAAAGTCTAAAACTCCTCAAATAGTCGAGGGGTAAAATCACACTCACGTTATGATATTCAACCACCTCCTCAATGAAATCCACCCCATCAGCCAGCGGGATCCGAACGCCTCTCTTTGTCCAGTCTAAGAGAGCACACACAAACAGAGCGACACTGTCACGGTGTGTTCAGGGTCTGTGAGTTTTTTGATTGATGAATTAGGTTCTTACTGTTGATCAGTGGAACTACAGACATCTGCAGCATCGTCTTTAGAGGAGCCTGCAGAGGAATCAACTGCAGACACACAGAGAGGTTTTAGGGTGTATACGCTTCATGTTTTGGTCAGAACGTGTAAAAATCAGGGAGAAAGTGTTTGTTCTGTAGTTTTGTGTCTTGTGGAGATCAGAGAAATATTTTACTGCTATTGTTCATGGTCATCATCATTATCATTGCATTAATAACATAATCTACAGCATTGATATTGCATTCAGATGTTTAAATATATTGGCACCCAATCAGCCTTTATTACAGGAGCAGTTATTACCCCTTTAAACTGTTGAGTTAAATCTATAATCTTAAATGCTTTTGAATGCTTTTCATAATCTTAAATGTTTTCTTGCAGTTTATATTGCATTATAAAAGAAAGGCCTAACTCTGAGTACACTCTGTGCCAAAGTAGACAGGAAGCGCAGGCTTTTGCAGAGCGTGCTTGTGAAAGTGAAACTAAAGCAGAGTCTAAGTGTAAGTTACTTTGAGGAGCAGTTTGGATGGGGCTATTTGAATAACCAGGTTATTCATTGTTATCTTTTATTCTTTTATATTCTTTTATTAAGTTTTAAGTAGTATCATTTGATTAAAACATTTATTCGATATATTACACATATAGTTTCAGTTGTGTACGTGCTGGCCTTCTGTTTGGTGGAAAGGTTACAAGGTTTAGCTGGTGAGGTGAAACTGAGTGCATTTCAGGTTGACACAAACACACACACACCCACACACACACAGTAGATGGACTCATTTATAGGTGAAAGTTCTCCACCATTTGACCTTAGAACTGAAGAAGCTTCTCGGATGAGAGGTGAAACGTCTTCAAGCAACTTAAAGAAGTGCAGACGCTTTTCTTTGCAAGCTCCTTTGACTACGATGACCTGGATGACTGAGAACCTTCACAGACATAGGTGAAAGTTTAATTATATTTTGCTTGTGACCAGGGTTTTAATAGTTTTGCAGTTTTCATTAGTTTTTATTTTAATTCAGTTTTGATTTCAGATTTTCAATTTTATCTCAGTTTTAATTAGTTTTTACCAATTGTTTGCTAGTTTAGTTTAGTTTTTATTTTTTTGAAAATCCTTAGTTTCAGTTTAGTTTTGATTAGTTTGAGTTATAGTTTTAGTTGTGTTTGCAATAATTAAGTGCAACAAAATCCCAGTTTCATCATATCAGTCATGCTCTTCTGCTTATCCTTGGGTATGTTGCTATTCCAGCTACCTGCACCCTGCACCCTGGACAGGTCGCCTGTCTGTCGCAGGGCTAACAC